CAAACTAAAGTTATTATGCTCTATTTTAGGAATTTAATTCATCAGTTAGCCTGTCTGAGGACATGGTAGGGGTGTAAGAAGGGGTTCAGTGGCCATCCAAATCTTTATCATACCAGGTAGACATCAAGACACTCTAGGATCCATGAACTTTTTTTTAAGATTTTGACCATGATATTTCAATATTATTTATTTTCTTTCTGATCAAATACAATTTATTTTGTGCAATGAGGAACTTTATTCTGAGGAGTCCATAACCAAAGTGATCCACAACACACACAAAAAAAATTAAGATCCCTACTCTAAAGCATCCCCTGCACAATACTCATGATAGGACTAGATTTTGTGAACAATCAACAAGAAAGAGAAAAATGACCACCATTTAGACTTCTGTCTACCCTAGAGTAGTCACTCACATGTTGTAAGAAGAAGTAAAATAGCATGCATACGCGCCCCCAGTTCTGCAAAAGAAAAACACTAAGCAAAACTAGATTATCTGTAAGGTTCCTTCCTTGTTTTTTTTTTCCCTTGATATAATATATTCTCTTTATTAAACTGTTTTCAAGAATAATTTTCATATACTCTTCTGCTTTGAAATAAATAGAGTTGACTTCAGGAAAACTGCTTAGTTTTTCAGAGCCTCAATTTCCTAATCTGAAAAAAAATAACTTATATTTAGAGAATGCTTTAAGGGTTGCAAAGCACCTAAGGAATAGGTAGTGTAAATATTATTATCTTACATATTACAAATAAGGAAATTGGCTGAGGGAGGTTTATAAGATCCTAGATTTAGAGCTTAAAGTTACTTAGAGGTCTTTTTTAATACGTGGTCATTTAGTAGATGAGAAAACTGAGGCTAATGAAGTAGAATGACTTGGGAAAAGTCACACAGGTTGTTAACAGTTAACTGACTTGCTATGGTTGTCTAGGTTATAAGTGGCAGAACCAGATTTCAAAGTGATGTTTCATGATCACAAGTCTAGCATTTTCTCCACTATACTATGCTTCCTTTCACAAAATGAGAACATTAGACTGAATTTAAAGTCTCTTCCAAAGCATGATTTCTATGAATCCATGATTCTAAATATGTGTGTATTTTATAACATATATGCTTATAAGAAAAGTCTTTATTATATTCCTCATCTTCATAATACGTGACAGGTACATATACTTTCTATTTTCAAAGCAATTTTTACATCAATCCCCTTATCACCATTTTCCTTGGCTATTTTAATGGCTTTCTAATTAATCTTTCCTCTGGTCTCTCCCCTTCCAAACTCCTCTTTCACACTGCAAAAATAATCATCCTAATATAGAGATATTACCATATCACTGTCTTGCTCAGGGACACTATAGTCTACTCTCCTATCTTGGCCTGCCACCTCTATCAATTCATTTATTCAGATCTATCCCACATTCCTAGAAATGTACTCCCTTTGTTTTTGGCACTAATTTATGAAGCAAGTTTTCTAAGAGTTGTAGTTGAAATGAAAGTACATAAACCAAATCACTACAGCTAATATGACAAGAAAAATGGTTAAGTGGGAAATTTTTCTCTTCCTTTTCCTTCCTTCCTTCCTTTCTTTCTTTCTTTTTCTTTCTTTCTTTCTTTCTTTCTTTCTTTCTTTCTTTCTTTCTTTCTTTCTTTCTTTCTTTCTTTCTTTCTTTCTTTTTTTTTGCAGCATGTTCCTCAGATAAAATTCTGATAACCAAGAAACAAGAATCATTCCCAAATAGATAAATGGCCAAAGGTTATGGACAGAAAGTTCTCAAAAGAAGAAAAAATATCTATCAACAACTATATGGAAAAATTCCTCAAATCACAAGTAGTAAGAAGAATGCAAACTAAAAGCAACTCTGAAGTTCTACCTCATTGGCTACAATGACAAAAAAAGAAAATGAAAATTATTAGGGAGGATGTGGGAGAACAAGCATACTAATGTACTATTGGTAATTTATTGGCCCAAGTATTTTAGAAAATAATCTGGAATTATAACCCAAAAGTCACTAATTTATGTATACCCTTTGACCCAATGATTTCACTACTAGGCGTATATCCCAAAGAGATAAAAGTAAGAGGGACAAAAGAATAAGATTTGAAAGTGAATTCAGAGGCCATCTCATCCAACTCCCTCATTTTATAGATGAGGGAACCAACACTCAGAGAGATTTCATGATTTATCCAAGGAAATACTAGCAGTTAGATTTGAACCTAGATCCTCTGACTTGGAGCCACTGTGCCATGCTACAGGACCCCTACGTAAAAAAAAAAAAAAATATATATATATGTGTGTGTGTGTGTGTGTGTGTGTGTATACATGTATGTATACATATATGTGTATATGTATATGTGTATATATGTACATACATATGTATATGTGTGTGTGTATATATATATATATATATATATATATTCACAATAGCCCTTTTTTTGTTGCAAAGAACTGAAAATAAATCATTAAATGGCAAATAGCCATACAAATAATGGTATTTGGATTAATGGAGAATTATTGGGCTATAAAAAATAATGAGGATGGTTTCAGAAAAACCTTGGAAGATATCTCTATCCAAATGCAGTGAGGTAAACAGAACCAAGAAAATAATCTATACAAAAAGACTAAAACTGTGGGGCTTAGGAAGGGATATAATTTTGAAAGACATAAGAATCCCGATTAATTTCATGTCCAACCACAACTCCAGAAGACCAGAGTTGAGTTATGCTTCTCAGCTCTGGAAGGAGAGGTTATGGACTGCAGGTATAAGAACGTGACATAAATTTTCAGTCATGACCAATGGGTAGATTTGTTTTACTTGACCATAGTAACTTATTAAAGGGAGAAGTCGCTTTTGGGAGATGGAGAAGAATTTGGATCTCTCTTTTCCTGATCCACCCCTGCTCCAAAAAAAAAAAAAGGACACCATTAAAGCCTTAAAGAAAAGGCACTGAGGATATGAGAAAAAGTTCATAAGGCAATGCTGGCAAGCAAAGCTTTGGAACTAATGTGCTGAATTGAGCTCTTTTAAAAAGTTGTATATAATAAGATTACATATTTCAGTTTCATGTATAGTCCTCTTTTTCTATTCTTTTTACAGGGACGTATACACATTAGTTCAGTTCAGAATAACAAAAACTTTTTTAAGGAATTGAAGAAGAAAAAAGACAGTGTGAATGTTTACAGAGATAACTGATGTGAATCTGAAAAACAAAATAATCCCTGTTCAAAATAAATTAAATGAGAAACAGAAGATATGGTTTGTCCCCAGTGGAACCAGTATACATACCCATATCTATCTTTGTCCTACTTTGGAAACTACTGAAAAATTAAATGTGGAATTCAACTGACACAGTGACATCTACATGGAAAATCTCATGCTTTTATATAAAGAGTAGATCCATGCTTGTATTGCATTATTGTGGAAAATGTAACTATTGTCCTTTTGGGGGTTCTAAAAACAACCTAAACACCATATATAAATACCCTAAAGAATATTTGAATAACATCCTTATCTCAGGACCCAAAAATGTATGGCTCAATGATCAGATAATCATTGAATCCAGCCAATATTTACAGAGAAAGTAAAAAATATAATCAATGAAATGGTCTGCTATTACACAGCAGGGCAATCTCTAGAGATATTTGGAAATAAATAATTTTAAGTGAGTGATGGATTTTCTTTCCCTGAAATTCCTCAGTGTATATATTTTTTATTTTCCAATCAACAGTATAAAGGCATATGGGAGAACTGCACTGGTGCTATATTATAATCTTCTCAGGGTGTTCTCTTAAATTTAATATTGCCATTGAAAATATATGGGTAAGAATAATAGCATGGGAACATTTTTTTCCAAACAGTGTAAGATCTCTTATTGACTATAAAAGTAGGTTGATTTACTTATGTCAAAAGGATTCTCTTCTACTATGTCCTAAAGTGACTATCCTGGGATCAACATATCTTTGATCTAATCCTTTGAATTCTGAAACTTTCATCAAGATTTAAACTTGAATTTGCAATGTCCTGCCCCCAAAGAATATAAAATCTGATATGTGAGCTGATTTAGAGAGGTGAAAAAATCAGAGTTGGTGTGAGAGTGGCTAGAGAGATAAAATAGGAGGATTAAGTTTTTGAAAGCCATCTGTTACTTACATTTATCCAAGAGCTAATCATGATTTTAGGAATTTCCTTTCTGTTTGACAGACCTATTTTACATTCACAGGTAATCAAAGTTACAATCTTTTTTAAATTAACAGATAAACTAAATCATTCTACTTGTCAAAGAAAGAGTTTTTGTTTGTTTGGACATAGCATTACCCCTTTGTGTAGTTCTATTTTCCACTTCCTTAGTGTGTGTATGTATTGACTTTTATTCTCTGTCCTTCTCTCCTCCACAATGGAATCCTGTATTTTACATAAGGAAATTCAGATCACTTGTGGTAGCTCCGAAATGTGACACATCTCTTCTGATCACACAACTTCCTGTTAACAATTACAGGAATTCAACAAAAGCACCAATCATTTCCAAAGGACTATAAGTGTATGAAACATAAATCTATAGTTTTGATAAGAAAATGCAGTATGCAAAAGCAATATCATCTTTTTTCTTCTTATAGCACAAAATGTTACCGACATTTCTGATAATTCATGTTTATCTTTTACTACTGAAGTTTGTAAAATAATATCTTCAGTTACTATCTATATTAGCATGCTAAAACCTTACCTGGTTATGATAACTATACAAATATTTTAAACACAAGGAATATACATGCTATCAAGATAAATGATACAGATAGTGGAAAAATGAAAAGGAAGGGAAAAAATACATCCAACTTAACAATAAACTCCAAATTCATCTGTTTCTTCTGTTTCACAGACCCACAGTAGTCTTGCTCTGTTTCTTATAACCAACTACTTTTTTCCTTGCTCAGAAAACAACCCATGCTCTACCCGAGCAGGCAAATATAAAAATTAAATAGAAAAACCACAAGGTTATTAAACACTCTTACCCTCTGGGCTTGCTGGGCTGCTCCTGCTTCTCAGTGTTACAGACACATGTGTAAACAACTGAATTTCCTGCATCCTTTCCTCATCTGTACAGCTCTGGGGTCTTGGCCAACAGGATTATATCCAGCATTAAGGCCACTCCACACTAACTCAAAAAGGATTCCCATTGGTTGTGAAGCTTTATCAAAGCCAATACCACAACATACTCATTGGATTGCAACTTAGCTAACCAAAATAAAATCTTTTTTCTACTGTCCCCAAACTAAACATGAGTTTCCAAAGGCTTCCTTTCCAAACTTTTGAAACTATATGCTATTAATATACCAGGAAATATAAACATAGGTTTTTTATTAGCAAGTTTTCTACTTATTTTCATGTCATCATACTCAGCCAGTCACTTTTTTAAATGCACTAAAATGTCAAAATTAAAAAAAAAAACTATTAATGAACAAATCTGTAAAAGCAAGGGATAAACATTCTGTGTTATGGACAATAGAAAAATATCTGCAGGTATTCAATATGTTACTGTGACTTATTTTGCAAAAGAAATAGTAAATTGAAGGAAATGTTTTGGTAAATAAATCACAGATCAGGCTCTGTGTCAGAACACTTTATCTCAGTCAGAATGACAAGAATTCTGAGTTTCCAAGTCAAGGACCCCCCAGTGAAAGGATTTTGGCCTAGATTCCCAGTGCTTTATCTGAGTGACTTTCCATTGATATGACTCAGCTGTCAAGATCCACTGAGGGAGTGGTGATGTTTTATCCCTTTAGGGATGCAAGTACAAAACAAACAAACAGTACTTCAAAGGTTAACTCTAACATTTCAAATTGTCCAGAGGAAAACTAAATGACAAAAAAATCATATAACAGGAAAGAAGAAATTTCCTTCAATCATTTGTATTTTCTGTCCCTTTGGTTTAGGGGATTAATCCTTGTTATTAAACAATGCTATAGTTATCGATAACCTCTGTCAGCAGCAGAGCATAATCCAATAATTCATATCAGAGATATACCCCATAGAAATCACTCCTATGCATTTTAGGCTACTAATAACACTCTTCTAGCCATATGAAAAGTGGAGAAAGAAAATAGCTACAAGATTCTTATTGTATGGAAAGCCAGAATTAGATACTATTAGATGAGTATCACAGACTCAACAAGAAACAAATAAGAAAACCCACAATCACTCTAAGAACAAAAAGAAAAATCAATTTTTTCTTTTCAGAATCTTTATCATCCTTTCCTTCTCTTCCCTTCCCTCCCTTCTCTTCTCTTCCCTTTCCTTTTTTTTTTCTAGCAGCAGAATAGGGTTTTTGACTTGTGTTCTGCTGGGAACCCTACAAACCTTTGTACCCTATCTTCCAGATCAACATTTTCTTGTACAGAGGTCATATTTTCTTTTAATTTAAACAATAACATTATTTTAATGTTATTGCTTTTTGTTTTTCTTCTAGATTGCCCTTCACATCCATGTAGTTACATTCCCAATCAGTTATCCACTCTTTAGTCTCTTTGACAATATTTACCACTTTAATTCAAGTTTTTCTACTCTGTTATTTTTGTTGTATAGGACATAAATTCATCTTTTACAATTTTTATTTATCTTTTAAACCATTTATAGATACCTTATTGTGGTTCTATGTCTTCTTGGGAATCCACAGGGTTACCTACTTCACCAGGTTTTGGTTCATTTTCCTTGGTCTTAAAATACTTATTCATAGAAGCCTATTTTATGTGCTCTGAAGACTATATATTTTCTTTTATTAATGTCTTCTCTCTTGGTTTATTTGCTTATGTTCAAAGTTTTTGGCTGAGTTTTCTCCTACAAAAATCCTTAGTAATTTCAGTCTTTTTTTCTTCCTTATTTTCCCCTATTGCTCACTTTCTGACTCCCTCCAGTTTGATGGCAGTTTCCCTGGATTCTGAATCACTGAGCCTCATGATCTCAAAGTGTCAGTCTCTTCTTTCAGTCATAGCCCCAAGTGATTTCTAGGGAGACAAAATTGGATCTAGGTGTATACTAAGATCTTTCTCTCAGGCTTAGTGGAATACCACATAACTAAACATTCTGCTACATTCTTTGAGTTCAATCATTCTCTGGCCAAGCTATGTTATGGCAGAGAGCACTGCCACAAACTAGCACAGTCAGAGGAATTTTCTGCAGTTTGGATCTCTAAAACTCTGAAAGAGCATGAAGTGGGGAGACTATATAATTGAGTTCTGCTGCAAGCCTGTCAGTTGGCTTGTACAACCCTGCTACTAGAGTGTGGGTGGGGAGAGCATGCTAACTGAACATTTGTTGGCAGCTAGGACTTCTCAGATTTAATTAACTGAGTTTTTACCTCATCTGCATTCTTGGTGTCCTCTCTTGCTCATAATTCCTATTTTTGAGGAGTTTGAGAGTTCATGAGAATCAGGGATAATGTCTGCTCCTCCATTTTGTTAGTCATGTGACCCTAAAGTCTGCCTATCTTTCTATACATTCTCTCTCTCTCTTGCTTGCTCGTGCTCTCTCATTGGAAATTTAGAGCTAAGGGAGGCCATGAGTTCTTCAGCTTTTTTGTATCATTTAAATAAAATAACTTTGAAGATCCAAACATTTTTAGGAAAAAAAAAACTGCTTTAAAATAGTGACTGATAGAAAATGGAGAAATCAATGTAATGTGATAATGCCCTGCAATATAATCTGAGTAAGGAAAGGATACCAAGGACTTTGGTTTGTGGCAGTACAAATATCTACATGAAAGTATACTACAAGCCCTTAACAATTGTGCCATCAACTCTATCTTTGATGTTTCAGAACCACTAATTTACGGTAAAAAATGAAGACATATGAAGCAGTCACTTCTATGTTGAATGAATTCTAACATCTTAAAGAAAGAAAATTCTGGGAGATTTCTATTGCTAGTTTATTTTCTATTGCTACTATATAACATTCTTACTGGTGTAACTGAAAAATGTTCTTTCTCTATCAGTTCTGCCTGTTAAAAATCATTACTGTCTTTCAAGACTTCAATTGTTTTCTCTTTCAATGAGCTTTCCCAAGTAGCCAAATCTACATGCTCATACCTGCATTTCTATGCTCTCATAGCACTTTGTTCCTCATGTATGTAGTCATTAATTATCTCTCCTAGTAGACTATTAGATGCTTTAGTTCGGGGACCATGTCTTACTTAACTTTAAATATTCCTCTTTGAAAAACACTGTACAGTGGAAACAGCACCAGACTTGGTCAGGTGACCTGATTTTAAATCCCAGCTCCAAGATTAAATTGTTTCATAGACTTGAGCAAACCATATATCCACTCTAAGGCTCAGTTTCCTGATCTATAAAATGGAGCTAATTATATTTACAGAAACTTTTTTTCAAGATTGTTGTAAGGAAAGCATATATTGTAAATTGTGAAATACTATATAAATACTAGCTGCAATTATAGGCACTAAAAAGATGTGTGATGAATGAATGAATTCAAAATGGACCGTATAATCATTAAGCCCACAAAACACACCTAATTTTTTTAAGTTATTTCTATTGATGACTTTTGCCTTTAATATCAACTCTGTTTCAGAATATATTAGTCACCTTCCCCTACCCAGTAAACCACACATTGTAATAAACATTTAAAAAGAGCAAGGGAAAAAAAAATTAGGTTAGCCAAACCAATCAACATATCAACAATGTCTAACATGATGTGGAACATTGCACATTCATAGTCCCCCATCTCTCTAAGGATTTATTGAGTGTTTATTTGTGCCAAGCCCAATCTATGAGCATCCATTTTGTTTCTAATTCTTTCTTTCTACAAAAACTACTGCTGCAGGATTTTTGGTATACAAGTGACCCATCTTCCTATTTTAACTTCTCTAGTATATGGTCTTCATGGTGTGGTATATGGGCCAAAGCATATATGAACACTTCAATCACTTTTTAGTGTAATTCCTGATTGGTTTCCAGAAAGGTAACATCAAATATCAATTTTACTTTAGTGTGCCTCTTTTTTTAGACCTTCCATTTTTGTCACCTTTTCCAGTTTGCCAGCTGTAAATTTACCTCCTAAAACTCCTTGATTTTCATTCCTATTATTATTAGTGATTTGTTATTGTCTTTTTTATTTCTCTAATGTTATTTTTTCCAATTATATTGCAAAAATAATTTCAACTTTTTTTTAAATTTTGAATTCTAAATACTCTCCCACCCTTCCTTCCTGCTCTCCACTCTCTATGAGACAGCAAGCAATTTAATATAGGTTATACATGTCAAGCCATGAAAAATATATTTTCACATTAGTCATGTTGTAAAAGAAAACACAGACCAAAAAAAAATAAAGAAAGAAAACACAAATAAAGTATGCTTCGATCTACATTCAGACTCCATCAGTTCTTTCTCTGGAGATGGATGGCATTTTCCATCATAAGTCCTTCAGAACTATCTTGGATCTTAGTATTGCTGAGAGTAGATAACTCATTCACAGTTATTGACACGATATTGCTGTTACTATATACAATGTTCTCCTGATTGCATATCAGTTCATGAAAGTCTTTCCAGGTTTTTTTTTAAAGCATCCTGCTCATCATTTCTTATATCATAATATTATTCCAATCATAATCATATGCTACAACTTGTTCAGCCATTCCCCAATTGATGGGTATTGCCTCAATTTACAATTCTTTGCCACCATAAAAAGAGCTGCCACCAATGTTTTTGCACATATAAGTTCTTTTTATTTTTATAAAAATATCTTTTAGATACAGACCTATTAGTGGTATAACTGGATAAAAGGGTGTGCACAGTGTAATAGCCCTTTGCACATAGTTCCAAATTGCTCTCTCAAATGGTTGGATCAGTTCACAACTCCACCAACAGTGCAATGGTGTCCCAATTTTCTCATATCACCTCAAATATTTATCATTTTCCCTTTCTGTCATATTAGCTGATTTGATAGGTGTGAGGTGGTACCTCAGAGTTGTTTTAATTTGCATTTCTCTAATCAATAGTGATTTCAAACATCTTTTCATATGACTATAGATAGCCTTGATTTCTTCATCAAAAAGTCACCTGTTCATATTCTTTGACAATTTATCAATTGGGGAATGACTTTTA